GAGAGAGGACACCCTTCTGTGATAATAGTTTGAAAAGAAACTATGGAAAGAAAAGCTGGAGAGGGACTGTTTACAAGGGCATGTAGTGACAGGACAAGGGGTAATGGCCTTAAGCTGAAGGAGGGGAGATTTACATTAAGTGTTAGGAAGAAATTCTTCCCTGTGAGGGTGGTGAGGCACTGGAACATGTTCCCCTCCCTGGAAGTGTTGAAGGGTAGGTTGGATGGGGCTTTGGTCAACCTGGTCTAGTTGAGGGTATCCCTGCCCATGGTAGGGGGGTTGGAACTAGATGGTCTTTAAGGTTGCTCCCAACCCAAACCATCCTGTGATTCTACGATAGATATGACTAGTGGCATGTCACATGAAGCAACAGTAGGACACATATTGTTCACTTTACACTATATATCAACAAACTGGAAGAAGAATAAGCACTAACATGATCAATTACAGATAATTCAAAACTGCAGGGGGCAATACAATTCTAAATTACATGGATGGAATAGGAGCACAGAGATAAATTGCTCTGTAGTTCAGTGCGGATAAATTAACGAGACTGGGAACAAAATTAATCAAGTTAATTTCAATTAATGCATTTTGTAAAGTTATTGAAACTTCAATAAGATCAGTTTGACAAACAGTTTTAAAGGACATAATAGATTACCGCTACAGACTACTGTATTTATGAACCATAAATAAAAGAAACTATAACTGCTGTAAGCACAAATAGAAAAATCCTACTTTTCAAGTTGCTGCAACAATACAGATGACCACTGTATTGTGTAAATCTACACATCTACACATTTGTAGATGTGTAAAAAGACACATCTAATAATTTTTCTAAATTTCATTTCTAGAGAATGACCCTAGAATTCTTTTATTGTAGTACACAGAGGCAACCAGCTATTGTTACGAGATAATCATAATTCCTGTAAAATTACAGAATTAATTCTTGCCATTAGATTAATGAAAGGTTCAGCTATTATTTATATGCTCTGTAAGACTTCACAACATTATCTACTACTGTTATAGCAAAGGACAGCATCCCACTTCACAGCCTGTGGTGCTCTCTGCAAAGGTTTTCTTTTTAGAGATTTTTGTCAGAATGAGTAAGAGAAATAGATGAGTTTTTTAAAAGTGCAAAGAAATAGAGCTTTTGAAAGTGAATATAGAATACAGCACTATGAGTAAATTAACACAGGAATGCTTCATCATTTTCATGGGTGCTTTTACAGGATTTCTGTTAATTTTTACCAAGGTAGTACGCTAAAACTTCATAATGCTATTTTGTTCAACTTGGAATATGTTCTGATTAAGTAGAAAGAAAAGTCATTTTAACATGCAGAAACATGTCTTAAGAAATTAGGTTTTTTGACTGAAAAATTTGACAGACATGCTATGTTGCATAACAGTAGCATCACAATGTTATGAAGAGAACACAGCAGACCAAGCTTACTGTTGGTTGTTGATTTAAATAAACGTGTTTCTGACATCCAATTACATACTCATTAGCTATATGTGTGTAAAAAAGCAGATTAGTCGACTTGAAGATAAAGAGGGAGTTAAGGAAGTGCTTTAATAAGCTATTCTTTAAATTGATATTACAAAACCCATCATACATCTGATATGCTGAGGTTACTTGTTTGTTGTCGTCAGTCAGTCTGATTTTATCAACATAGTTTGCTTACATTGTGTTTGCACAGCAAACAGCTCCCAAAAACATTGTACAAGACTGCTTGAAAACACAAGTCTAACAAATTTAACAAAATTAAACTTAAAATGGAAACCAGACAGACATAGCAGTACTGTCCCTCTTAAATATGCAAACAATGATCTGTTGAAGGAAAGAGAAATTTCTTCTCAGACACTCTGCCTACACTGCTTTGTTAAAGTCCCATCCTCTCCCCTCCTCTCAAAGCAACCAAACGTTTGCAAAAGATTCTGCAAGCACACAGCCAATCTTCATTCAGTAACCCAAGGTCCATTACAAGGAAAGGCAAGGCCTGAAATGAAGTAAATTTACATCAAATTGACTGCAAGGCAAGCGTAAGCACAGGTCAATTGCACAAAACAACTAGCTTAAACTTCTCTCTGAATAACCTGGCATGCAGTACCAGGAGTGGGCAGCTCTGCAGACGCATAGGCCCCACAGTCTACTCTGCACTTGTCTACTCATCACAGCTGTACTGCTACCTCCAATCCTATCCTGCTTCCTGAATGTGCACCCAGTATACCTCAATACGATCTGACACATCAGTCCTGAAGTCCCTTTCCAGTCAAAAGTGCTTCTTACAACAGGTACCTCTACGAGCCCACATTTCTTGCCATAACATGGTTCAGCTTGTTTAGCAGCTTTCACTTTGTAATTTTGACTTTATGAGATTATCTCCCCATTCTTTTCTTTATATTACTACTTGAAGGTATATTGTCAGAGCTTTTGAATACCTCTCTCCTGCAGCACAAATCATATACCTAGAAGTGACATTTCTATAGGAACCGGTATTTTTTCATACAGCTAACTACTCTTGACATCCAATTCACATTATACTTTCCCCATTTATATTAGAGATAGTAACAGCATAGCAATAGTCACATAAAAAGCATCAAATGGAAATAAAGCATATTATTTGCATCTGTTTATCATGCAAACAACAAAAATGCCTGCAGGACAGAGAAGTAAAGTGTGTTAGGAGGCCTTAAGTGAAGACTCAGAACTACAAGGGCAATTATAAATTACAAGAGTGAGTTGATTAGTTCAGCTCTACAAGACATAAAAATGAGTTAAGGGCACTTTTGAGCCACGGAAATAGGCTCTTTATTCATAAACAAGAGTTAAGTAACCTAAAAGAATTCATTCTTTTCTGTTCTTAGAATTCTGGGGTTTGTTTTTTTTCTTCCTTTCCTACTTTGTGTTCTCAGACTGTACCTTGCTCTAGGAACTATTTGTGTATGTAAGCATCTGCTGAATAAAATGGTACACAGAAACTTTGACAATGGCTCTCATTATATATTTATATAATATTTACTAGTAGATTCATATCCCAATTGTAGACTATACCTGGTATATTATTTTGCTCTGTGTATAATTTCATGGGATCAACAGAACCTACCTATCTCTACAACAACATCCAACCTATGGACCAAACCCAACTCCAAAATCCATTAGTGGACTTCAATGGCTAAAATAATCTTCACTTTCAAATTTATATGCATAATCCATATTTTTGAGAGTTGTCTTGTGAAAGAACACACTCTTTAGTGGTTCGGGTTGGAAGGGACCTTAAAGATCATCTAGTTCCAACCACTCTGCCATGAGCAGGGACACCCTCCACTAGACCAGGTTGCCCAAAGCCCCATCCAACCTGGCCTTCAACACTTCCAGGGAGGGGGCATCCACAACTTCTCCGGGCAACCTGTTCCAGTACCTCACCACCCTCACAGGGAAGAATTTCTTCCTAATACCTAATCTAAATCAACTCTCTTTCAGCTTAAAACCATTACCCCTTGTTCTGTTACTACATGCCCTTACAAACAGTCCCTCTCCAGATTTCCTGTAGGCCCCTTTAGGCACTGGAAGGCTGTTTTAAGGTCTCACCGGAGCCTTTTCTTCTCCAGGCTGAACAACCCCCACTGTCTCAGCCTGTCTTCATAGGAGAGGTGCTCCAGCCCTCTGATCATCTTCGTGGCCTCCTCTGGACTTGCTCCAACAAGAAAACAAAGTCAACAGAAATACTTTACTTCTGCTACTAGTACTTCCATGCAAAACCAACACTACTACATGCAGAAATGAACAGAAATATTTGCTTAAATGTCTCCAAGACAAACACCCAATAATTCATCATGACAATGACTTCATGACAAAAAAAAACCCCTATCTATGGATCTACCACAAAACAAAGACCCACACATATCACAACATCACACACACAAAGAGAATGAGCCAGCTGCAACAGAATAGCTACTTGTCCCTTCATTACTCACTACAAATCTCAGCTTGGAGCCTGTTACCTAGTTCTACCTTAGTCCATTTTCAGTATTATTCTAAAGAAAAAAAAAGGAAAAAAAAAAAAACAAACCACACCACACAACAACAACCACCACCACCACCTCACCACACACAACCCACAACAGTTTCCCAGGCTACTCAGTAGTAGAGTTTCATTATAAGAATCGTTTTAAATGTAGTCTTCATTGTAACATGGAGCTAAACCAATTATCTCCCAAAAATACATACACACATGCCCACAGCACATTCTGATGAACTGTACATATGGTCATATGCATATACATGTTTGCACACATATATATGCATGCATACATATACACACTTTCCCTAATATATACATCTAATGTAGTCTGAGCACTACCATCACATATGAACTACTACTAACAGCTTCATGATCATCAAGAGTTTGCCTGTTTTCAATAAGGAGTTCATTTCTTTACTAAGGAAAAACATTAATTATTTATAGATTTATTAGGAAATACTACTGGATATATCCCAAATAAAAAAGTCAAAATATTTGTATCAAAAAATCAAAACTGGACTTAAGATTCTAATTCACACAACTTCAAATTCTGTACTCATTACAGTTTGTACAGCAAAAGAAAGAACAAGCTTCCTAAGAACAGACATAGACAAGGGATTATTTCATGATATCTACAGGAAAGAACATTGAGAGCTTATTAGATGTAAGAGCAACATACTCAAATTTCATATTCCTATGTATATTTCTGTGTGAGACTTAGAAAGTTCAATAGGGGGGAAAAAACCAAAACCAATTTGTTTAAATAACATAAATAAACTCTCACCACAGTCAGGGTAACAGTACTCCTAATAAGAGTGGAAGTTTCTTTCACTTCCAAAGTATTTTATTTTAATCCCTAAATTTGATTTACTGGGAAAATATTCCCCTCTAAGACAGCAGAAGTGAAATGGATAGGTTTAAGTTGAACTTGATCTTCCCTCTGACTTGGTAACCTTATGTAACAAAGTTTCCTACCATTACAACATTCTTAAGAGTTATACCAGTTTTCATGTCTGTCACAATCACATAGCTCATAACATCTGTTAGATCAAAGGGAGAAAAAGTGGCATTTATCATTTTCAAGCTTATATAACATATGCAATTTAACACCTCAGAGTTTATTCACAGTTGCATTTTATAAGTGTGTCAAGTCTCATCTAGTTAGTATTGTTTCCATAGTTCTACTTTGCTAGCATCAACCTCACAATAAGACCAAAAAAAAGCCACAATGTGGACTATATTATATTGAAGAAGTCTCATGACAACTACAGGGCAGGAAAGTGTCAATTCAAGAACTGCAAGCATGTAGTTTCTACTTCCTTCCATAAAAGTTTCCCATAGATATGTTCCAGAATGGTCTAACTCAAAGACATTTTGTTTATCAATTCTTTTGACATAAACTCCTACTTCTAAGTAACCAGCCAAGTTCTCCAAATGCAGTGTACTATTTCTGATTCCTCCAGATTTTCACTTGGGATACAAAGCCATTCGATTCTGTGGTACCCTCTTAGCACTTTTATTTACTATTCAGCAGTTAAAATCCAGCGCACAAAGGGAACAGTCAAGTTATCTGACAATTCATTTGTTTTCACATTAACATGTTGTCAGCATTCACAGATGAGACGCAGAACTACAGTATCAGTCTGTGAACATGAAGAACGCTCACTGAGTAGACAAGTAGTAATACTTCCACATCTCACTGTTTTCACATTCATATTTCTAAGCGTAAGAATTATTCTTATACTGCATGCTGTTCCATTATCAGACATTAACACTAGACACAGCTAATTATACTTTGTTTTTTCTCCAGAGATTAGTCCAGTAGGAAGAAATAATGTGAGAAAGAAGAGAACGAGAAGCCATCTAACACCCTACGCATTAGGATGTATGCAAATTGCATATTACAAGCATGAATACTACTAGTATTCAATTATATTCTTTCTTTTGCAAGATCAATTCTAAATACTGAAAGAATTAGGTCCTAACCAAACCATCAGGCAGAAGAGTACATCAAACAGGAAAATTTTATAGTTAAAGAATAAAAGATGTAATTCATAGCACTTAAGAAATACTCACCAAGATCTGTATTAGGGCCAGCAAGTAGCTGCTTAAATTTGTCTAATCGGGATGCTTCTCTTTCAGTTAATGCAAGAGTAACTGAGGTATTAGAGTCTGCCATTCCACTCACCAAGGGAGGTGTGGAAGTTTGTGGAAGGGACTGTGATCTCTGCATGGAAGAATTTTCACTAGCATTATCTGAAGGGGAAAAGAAGCATAACAGTTAGCCTCAGCTAGTAAGAAGGCTACTAATAAATTAAATTCAATTTGTAAAGTTAAAACAGAATTATGTTTTGGAGAAATGAAAGCTCAAGTATAGCACAAGTTTGGACTTCAAATGATTTGGATTTAGCAAGAGGAGTATTCCTCTTCCAAGCAGTATTCCACAATTAACACATCAATTAGAGATCATACTAACAGCAAAGCTAATTGATTTCTAAAATCTCTGTGCTACTGAAAGCTGTTTCTATCCCCCTCACCATTAAAAAAAAAAACATTGTAATTAGTTACTTCAAAGTTTATACATAAAAACACAGACCAGATCACATAAGGATGAACTTCCTAGTCCACATGCATGTTTTTCTCCAGTTTTTCAATATAATTTATACAGTAGCATTTTAATAACAATTTTTCACAATAGTAGGAATACTATTAATTGCATATATCTTGGTGCAGTTAACCATTAAAATACCTTCAACAGTGCAACTTCCTTCCAAAATTGAGTATGTATTAAGGCTGAAAACAAAAAAATTTAATTATTCTTCCCTCACCCATGTATTTCTCACACACATGCCTTACGGTTTAATATGACACGCAGTATCTCTCTCAAATAAATCAATACTAATTAATAATATTTTCCTGAGGTATTAAGAAAAGTTTGGGAGGGAAGCGGCTAATGTCTTACAGGGCAAATATTATAGCTCTCTCCCTTTGATTTTCAACATCTTTTTCATTTTTTAAACACACCTGATGAACTTGATGCATGACCTTCACTGACTGATTTAACAAGCCTATTATCACCACATGCAATTGAAGTCAGCTCTGCAGATTCTACTTGTTTTTCTTCCAGTAGGTGTTCTTCCTGAAATTTATGCTGTTCTTGTAGCTTGCTGTGATTCTGAATTACTTTGTGAGCTGTTTCCATGACCACTTCTGTATTTAAGTTTTCAGCAGCTATTGCTAAGAGTTCATCATCATCATCCCCAAGATCCCAAGCATCACTTGTGTTACTTTCAAATTCTTGAAAGGTGCTGACTTTCTTGAGTTTCACTGGAGTTGTAGGTGGCTTTGAACCTGGTTTTATCAAGCTGTTCAAAAACAAATAAACAATATTTAGAGAACTACTAATGGAGTAAGCAAATCACTATGGATAGGACCAAAAAAAAAAAAAGTCTACGCTTGACATTATATAGGTAGCAAATATTTATTTCCCTCCACTCATGTTACTGCTACATCCACCCATGATAACATACAGATGATTATGTCTGAGAATGAAGGCAGGTAAAAACTGACTCTTCTTGGCTTTGAGCAGAAGCTGAACAAATTCTTCCTTCCCTTGTCTTAAAACAAAACAAAAGTAATCCAAACAAACAATCCAACCCTAAAGTCAAATAAGAAGAATGCTACTGGAATAAGACAGACAGGACACATTGCACTTCTCTTGCTTCATGAACTTCTGTAGACATTTCAGGGCTTTTAATGCAGTTGCTGCATAACAACACAGGAGCAGTAATCAAGTCATCAGGTCTACTCCTAAGTCATCATAAGCAATCACGTATTACAATCACTGTCATAAACAAATCAAGTCTCACCTTAAAACTCATTAGATCTATCATTCCTCCTCATTCAGGCACTCCAGCACAGATTTGCTTCAGAACTTTGCTCTTTTCACAGGCAGAGATATTTCCTCTAGTTACTAGTCTGTGTACCCTGATAGCTCCCAACCTTTTGTCCCTCTGTTAACAAGCAGTATAAGAGAGGTGAATGAAGCATCCCTCCCTAGCTTAGCACTTGGTCTCACTTACAGCAATGAAGAGCAATCACATCTCCCTTCAGATTTCAGCTTAATATGGCATTAAGTTCAGTTTCCCAGTCTGCTCTCAAAAAAAAAAAAAAAAAAAAGTTACTGCCATTAACTTAATTGCCCTTTCTGACCATCCCTGTCTTTCCACCTGTGCTGGTTTAACTTTTTTCTGTTAAGACAAGGCAGCCATAATTGTAAATCAGAAAAAGTTCTCACACAGTCTTCATACAACATCAGTAATGTTTCTCTCATGCATTACAGAGAATATCTTTCCTAACAGGTGCTACAACATTAACACTTTCACTCAACTTGTCATCATTATCTAAACCAGCAAGGTCTTTCTCCTCTTCTGTCATCATTTCAAGCACTAAGCTTCTAGTTTTTGTTACTAGGTCTCTATAACTCCACTTTTTGAACCAATTCATCCCATTCCCTTTTCTTCAGTCCTCAAGGTCACACATTTCAACTGCCTTCAACTCTGTATCATCTGAAAATTAACTAGCACATGTCCACGTCTTGTACCATTTCAAACCAGCCCTTGAAAAAAAAAACAAAATCCACTAGAAGTATGACCTCCTTCCAAGCCAATACTTTTCCTTCTAACATTTTTTATCCCATTCATTTCATTGATCATACAATTTTCCCAAAATTCTCACATACACCAATGTTTTAACAGCATTGCTGATTTCAAAGCATTCAGATGAACTGTGAAATCTACCAAACCAGAAACAACTTTGTCCTTGACAAAGCTTAAAACAAACTGTCTTTCAAAAACAAAAAAAAGACAATAAAGCAAAATACAAAAACCAGCTGTCAGAATGCAGCATTTTGCTTAACACCTCAGTCATAAGGAGATTCACTTGCATTAGTTGTGGGTTATCAGCATGAAATTTATTTGGTTACTAATGATGTTTAACATAATGTTGCCACTTTCATGTACTGTTCTGATATCTGATAATCATGATCTAAGGCAATGAACTCTTAATTCACCGTAAAATGTATTCTGCCTACTGTTTTCTCACAAGCAAAATGCCCACCTTTACCTCAAAATGATCTACTCCACAACCTGACTCTTTTCTCTTATAGACAGACAAATAAAGGCAGCCCATCAATAGAAAGATGCGTGCAGGAAAGCCAGTTACACCTAAGTTGTAAGCTTCATCTGCTACATTAAGATAGTATTTACCATACAATTTCCAATTTATAAGACACTGCAAACAGACAATAAAAGTTGGCAATCTATGTTAGTTAAGAACTGAACAGCTGATTTGTAGCTCCAACAAATAGGGAGCAATTGTAAGGACCAGGAAGTCACAAAAGAGAAGTTAGAGGAGTGAAGATTATGACAAAAATTGAAAAAGGAAGAGTAACAATCAGCTTTATAGCCAACAGAGAAGAAAAAAGAGAAGATAGAGGAATATTTAAATATTAAGTTAACTTACGTTCCATGCAATAATGGATCAAAAGGTGGATGCTGAGCTCCATACACATGTTGAATACTAAAGGAAAAGAGAGTTATCACAAAAATAATAAAGCATTTGATGTTTTTCTGTGTATTAAACAAACAGTCAATAATAAACAGAACTGAATTGTTCCAACAGTTTTCCATTTCAAAGAATCCCACATACCACTAAAAATAATGAAGCTGAAATTGAAGTGTATACTAAAAAGTAAATTAATAAAAATCATAGATTTGCCAAACAGGAGCTCTTTTTGAGGCCTTGCGAACTCTGGTTGACTTATTTTTCTAACCAGGAATTAAAACAAGAAAAAAAAAAAATGTAACTCCACAATAAGAATCTACACTGCTTTTAAATTAATTCTCTTTTCTGGTTTATCATTTCTTCATTTCTCTCTTGCAAAAAAAAAAAAAAATATTCTCAAACAAACATCTGCAAAGTTTGACTCTTCTACGTACCCTTGTCACCCAAAATCCAACCAGTCAATTCTTAACCCTTACTGAAGCAGAAGGCTGATAAATTTAAACAAAAATGCAAAAGATGGCATGCTAGAGAACAAAAGCCATGGGAGTATTAGAAACAAATACTTCAAAATCAATAAGCTTCCAAAGACACATTTATTCACTACAATCTCTAACATTCCAAAACTGCATGTTATTGTGTGAATAATAAAACTCTCTACAAACTAAAAGTTCGTTTCCTCGCAGTTTTCAGCTATAATATTATTTCATAAGAAAACTCCACAGAAAGCACATCAAGATTTAGGTGTGACTTCATAATGGAAATTATTACTACCAAACACTTTGATTGCAAGAGAAGCAAATCATATGCAACTTTAACATCCACCATGTACTAAAAAGCACATAAAAGGAGACAAACATGCCCTCTTGACAAATCAAAAGCTATCTCCAGACCATAAACATAAATAAATCCGACCTTAGTAAACCTGAGATAAAACCAAGCCAAAAAGACTGCAGTCATAACAAATTTTAAGAGAGGCTTAGAATTATACTACAGGGACAGGATTAACAGTAGTGAAATTAGTCGTAGAGATGACTGAGAGTAGTGCTTTATAAACTCTATCAATTTTTATGTGATTCCATGCAAATCAAGAAGTCAGTCCTCCACCTTTCTACACGACTGTATGCCATACACCATGGTCAAGTCTCTGCGCTCTCCTGCTCTACACTCACATGAGGGTCAGGTGTCACTTTCCATTTTGGCAGACAGACAAAATCTGATTTTTCCTTCAGCCACTCTATGAATGACCATGACGGGAATCCACCCAAATATAAAGCAACAACAATCCTCTCCACATCATTAAAAAAAAAAAAAAAAAAAGCACATTGTCTACAGTGTCCTCATTTTCCCACATGCTTGCAACTTAATTAACTGCAAATATTCATAGACCCTGTGTAATTGAGGAGGGTCAAAAGTGGTTTACCCCCAAAGGACTCAGTAAAGTTACAAAATAAGAAGTTGAGAGAGACAAGAACAGTTGAGACTGAAAAGAGTTAGTTTATAACTAGAGAAAGTAAACCACTACCAGTTAGTGCTTAGGGGTAACTGAGAATGGAAGAAGTTAAATGATGAGCAAAATAATTTTGCTGAATTAGGTAAATGGTATGAAGTACAGTTACTGTTCTCCGACAACCAAGAACACGCATCATTCTTACAAAAATAACACACAAAACTGGATTCCCATGAGAACAAGTTTAGGGACAGGAACAGAGAATGTTATTGTTAAATAATCATCTGAACAAGCGTTCCCAGCCTGACGTAATGGTCAAAAGAGTAAATGCAGCTTTGGGGATGTATTACCTGGAAAATTTCAAATGGGAACATGCGTTTGTAGCTCTTAGCAGCTACACAACAACTGAGTCTGCTGTTCACACTTCAGAAAAAAAGTTGAGAAACTGGTATTTTGAAATATCAAGTAGAAACTAGAATATGGCTATACGCCTATACCATGCAGTTTCCTGCATAGTATTTCAAAATAACTTAACTTGTACCAAGTCATAAAACTTGGTAACTTGCTAAGAGCCACAAATACATTCTCCCATTCAAAAATTTCCAGGGAATAAATCACGTTAACTCTTTTGACCATGTCATCAGGCTGGGAACCCCTATTCAAATAGCTATTTAACAACTTTCCCAACACAAGTTATAAGTGACACTCACTGAGACCACCAGCGCTCTTCTATCAGGTAACCGGAGGCGCCCAGCACGGAAACAGCCCGGGCACTGAAGTAACAAGAGAGAACCGAGGGAGGAACGGACAGGCCCTACACCAGCCTCCCAGCTCGAGCAGGGACCGACCGGACACGCTCGCTGCAGAGAGCACGGGATCCGCTGGGATCCATCGAACTGGGCGGCCGAGGCGGCAGGAACAGGGTGTTGTAGTGACAACGAAAAGGGACGGAATGGGCCCAACGGCGGCGGGGCTGGGCGGAAGCGCTCCCCGCGGCCCAGCACCACCAGGGTGGAAGCTCGCCCCGCCGCCCTGAGCTCCAGCTGG